AAAAAAAACTGAGATATTCAAATTGTCTATGAAATATTTTTGTGACATAACATTAATATAAAGATATGCCAGAAATAATTATTGTAAGCACTTAGTAAAGACGCATAATCTTACAGTATATTTTAAAATTCAAATGAAATTTTGTAAAAGTAACATCCTATAAAATAAAGAATGACATTTTCTTCAACGGAAGTTTACGCATTTCCTTCTGCGTAACGCCCAGTAATCTCAATCCAGTACAACTGTAGTATGAAATTTTCCCTTCCCTTCCCTGACGAAAAGCATTTTGAAATCTGGTCATGCAACTACTCTTATATATGCCCTCGGTTGGCGACAAATTTCTCACCAAATATTTTTGCCCAGAAACTCCATAATGTCATATTACTATCTAAATTTTTTTGTCTACTTTTCCAACTTTAAGCCTAAAATGTCTGCAAAAATGTGATTTTCGTACATGCTAAAACCATGTTTTCAACACACAATTTATGCCAATAAACCAAAACCAAAACAAAAAATTTAGATAGCAAAAACATAAAGTTTCTAACCAAAAATATTTGACAAGAATTCATGTACACAGTGATCTCTTTTAACTTAAAAAAAGTCGGAGAATTGCACAATCTATACAGCGAAGAAATCTAGGAATTACGCACACCTTGCTAAAATTAATTAACAGCAATAAATTTCAAATAATGCCATGTATGCAGCATTCTAAAAAAATTATAATTTAAAAATTTAGCATTTTAAAAAAAATCAGCTAATTGCACAATATCGGCATTGCACACAAATCAACAAAATAAATTATAAAAACTAAAATAAATTCCAAACAATTCAAAAAACAACAATTACAACAGAGATTCATAGCAAAAAATCAATGAACATAACATTCTACAAAATAAGAACAGCAATAAAATGCACTTACCAATTCTGAATGTTTCTTCAAACAGCAGAAATATAAATTTCAAGCATCAGCAAAACTTGTCAATTTCCACCATTTTATCCTCCCTGCCCCCTATCTTCTAAGACACAGAGCATGCAAAGTCCATCGTACATTTGTGAATAAGATTTCGCCAGTCGCACAACGTCTGTGACAAAAGTGCCACGATTTTTCTGTATCTCGCGTCTTTCTGCAATTGAAAATTTTGAAAGTAACAATAGAAACTTTCTCCGAAGTTAACTTGTTACACGAAAACCACAATCCAAATCTTAAACTTTGCTGACAGCTATAAGCCATTTCAAAACGCCCACCAAACCCAAAATAAAGTTTCAACGTCAAAAGGGTTGCCATACGAACAACATTGCACCAAAAACCATCGCAGAACACACAATCGTGCCAAAATTCGTTACCTAATTCTGCTTTGTTATCTAGCACAGAACACATCGCCACATTAGGCAACCTGAGGGCGTATATAAGAGTAGTACCCTGGTCACTAATCTCTACACTTCCCTTTCTTTTGTGACATATATGCACCTCTCTGAGAATCCATTAAACTGCACACAAGAATCTGTTGCAAATACAGTCAAAAGTCGTTAATTCGGACACCCATAATCTGGAATGATCTATAATCCGGACCTCAAAGCTAAAAACTTTCTGCGCATGCACCGCGTGGCCTGCGCACAGGCGTTTTACGGTGCGCGAAGACTGGATACTGCGTATGTGTGTGCGCAGTTCCCGATCCGTTTTCACCTGCGCGTTTAATGTATACGACGGGTACGCTCCACTTCTTACTTATCATTTCTTTAATGTTACTACTGCGTTGTCCTCACTTGATGCTCCGGTGTTATTTGTGCAGACGTCAGAGCCATTCACATTAAAAACTTGCACTTTCCGTTATGTCCCATCGAATTCCGTGCTGGACTTCCAAAGGCTCTACCACCACGACCTATGTTGCGCGTCCCACAAACCAAAGTGGAATGCTCAAAACATGGATAAAACCTGAATGGTGCAGAGAGTAGTGCAAAGAAAAAATTGTTGAAAGTTCGTCGGTCTTTCGCCAGCCTAACGGGCTGCCGCGAACTTTGCAACCGAACAAGAATTATGCTGTTAAGCCTTACAGAGAAAGTATTATCACCTAACTGGAGCACTTAACCAATCCTTGCAAGAAAGTTAATACGTAAACATCATATGTAGCTTTTTTTTTTTTTTTTTTTTTTGGGTAAATTTTGATACCCGTTAGATCATATTGTTCTTTATTCATAAATACGGTTTCAGATTTTTAATTTTAGAATTTCGATGCATTTAGAGATTGAACTGTGATCTATACTCCGGATCGCCGAGTCCGGATTAACGACTTTTGACTGTATGAGGTGATTTCTTAAAGGGGGAAAAGATACCCCGTCCTTTCAAGGCTTTCAAGGCCAATGCCACGACCTCAAAATGTTAACAAACTCAACGACTTCAAAACGTTCCATTAACATCACATGCATCTTTAAGCACGAATAGTTTATGTGTGAGGTTTCTTTACATTTCTTACTGGTATAATGTTGGTAATGCAGCAACGCAAAGGTGTTACAATGTCTAAGGGTATTTTGCATCAAATGACTTTGGATGTCTTTATCACTTTTCAAATCCCGCTTTGAATTCCCCGTGAAGAAAAAGTAAAATAATAAAGCTTTCAAATTTTATGGGTTATATATATATAATATATCATATATTTTTCCTTTTTTACGGCATGAATTATGTTTTGTGTTATTGCATAACGTGTATATATTTACTAAAATTTATTTTTAATTACAGTCAGGAAGCTACTCCTTTGTCTAAAAAAGCACTAAAAAAGCTTGCTAAAGATGAAGAAAAAGCATTAAAAAAGAAAGCAAAACAAGCGGAAATTGTAAGTTTATCTTTGATACATTATTGCAGAATTTCTCAAAAGTATTATTTTGGATACATTATTGCAAAATCTAATTAATGGTCAACCATCCTGAATGGGAAAAAATATAAATTTTATTATGTTTTTTTGAAAACTTAACAATAATAACTGAAATATAACAATACGTCATGTTGTCCAGATAATCGGTTCTGTTGTCATCCTGGACTTTTTGAAGCCCAACAAATTAAGGAATTAAATGGATACAAAAAATTATATTTTCCTTCAAAGAAAGTTCTTTGTTTTTTCAAAAAATAAAATGTTATTAATAAATGCCTTTATTAACACTAGAACAGCCGAATTTCAGACTAACCGAAAACCACCATTGGTGGTCAATTTGACCCTTATAAGAAATGTAAGTAGAAACACAGTAAATGATGATGCTGAATGCCACGTAAAAATTTTTAGAGTTTTATTTTTTTATAGCTTTAAAATTTTTTTCATGCAATTAGCACATATCTTTCAATGTAAGATTCAAAACAAAAACAAATCTTTGAAACAAACAAAGATACAAATCAAAAAGAGGAAATAGACATATGCAAAATTACAAAAAACATAATTGGGAAAAACATGCCGGTTTTCCAAAGTTTGTTATACATCCGAGGTGATTCCAATATACGCTTGACAGTGACAGCACAATTACCACAATTGGTTTCTGGCTCCTTCACATGACCCCAGTTTGTTTTGTTCCCTTGCAACTTTAAATGCACATTCTTCCTTTAAGTGTCTGTATTTGAGCAATTGGGGCATTCTTTTGCTAGGCCAACCAACTCCTCGTTTCTTCCACGAGTGCAAGAATAATTTCAACGGAAATAGGTGCCCAAGGATTCTTGAATATATCCAAGCATTGAGTTCAGCAATGTCAAGGACTAAAAATATGTCAGCCACCTCGACTTCCACTACTTGTACTATATTTCCTCCATCTGATCTGCAACATCAATGCCACATTTTGTACGTGTAGTAAGTGACAGTTTTTTTTTCTTTATTCTGTCGCAACAAACACCTTATGTGCCGTCGTGCTCAGAACGACATTCTTTTTGCTCTTGCACCTATATATTGTGAGTGTTTTGTCTTCCATTTTTTCAGTGCAAAAGATTTATATCGTGCCGAAAAAGTGTCACTAGCAATAGGGGGTAATTCTCGTTTATTCAGACGCATCGTCCCGACAATTGTGGTTTTTTCGCAGAAAGTTCATCTGCAAGTTTCACAGAAGTAAAAAAAATATCAGTTGTGACATTGAGTCCGGAGTTAGATGTGGTTACAGTAATTTGAGAACTACACTTTCCCCAAGTTGTAAATTAATTTGTCGTTCTTCATCCTTGCCCAGATAAGGATAATCATTCAAAACATATTTCGATTTTACATCAGTTGCTAGCCAGGATTTGATGCCAAACGCCAAACTTGTCCAGTTTATTCGCCATGTACTGGATAAATCTACATCTTGATTTACAAGGCAACAATTGCTCATCAACGGTTATTTCTGGTCTAGGATTATAGCATAAATAACAGTTTTCCATTAGCTTGTACCAGTTACAGAAGCGAGAGCAAATTTGTTAGTGGCGAGACGATCAGCTATGGTGCTTCGGACATCGAATCGAGATACCGCATTATTTCACGGAACTGATTGCGTGCCTTGTTTCTTGAACACATGTAGTCTCAATTCTGTTCCACAATCATCTGCACAAAGTTTGAATGGCCTAGTGCTTCTAGTGTCGTTTTTCTTATGAGGGTCAAAATGACCCCAGTTGGCTGTTTTAGGTATATCTGCGATTATTTGTTTAAATAATTAACGTAGAAATATGAAAAATTGGCATAGTATACTTGGAAACATTTTAGAAAAAGTAAAAAAATATCAGCTTCGAAGCTCAGCTGTATGTTAAAAAAAAAACGCGTAAAATTGGAAAAAAAGGTAAAAATGACCCGAACGGCGCTTCTAGTGTTAAAAATAAATTTTTTTATAATTCATTTTTTATTCTCTAAAAATTATAAGCATTGTCTGCAAATTATTATTCTTTGGTCTCTTCTTTTTGGGTACCAATAAATTGTCTTGTTTACTTTCAGGCAAATTATACAGCTGCATTCAATATTGTAATCAGCTTCCATAATATACTGTGATAAAATTTCATCCATTCTGATATTTTTCTTTTTGTTATTCTGTTAATTCTCATGCAGACACTTCAGTACATCTATTCTTGTCTAAGTTGTCCTCAGTTCTTCATAACTTGTTGTTCATCTGTGTTAATAAATACTTCGTTACCTAGTGCATTAATGTTAGATTTGGTCTGTCAATTGCATTAGCAAAATCTAGTTTATGAAAACCAAAAACCTGCTGTCTAATTTTTATGCTGTTAGTGACTTCAGCAAAATTAATTTCAATCTTTAACATAATGTGTTATGATGCGTTTTCTTACTGCCCTCATATTGCTACCATTAATGCTGTTAATTCACGCTATGGTTCATTGATGTTTTTGATAACATTTTTGATGTTGTATCTTTTGGCTTGAAAAAAGAGCAGCACAGATATTTGGCATTAAATGTTGCAACCTCACCTTGATCCATTGGTTGGATTAATGCTGTTGTATATTGTGGAAGGTAGGTTAATTCTAAATTTTTATTTAAATTTCCAACTAATTGGATGATCCGAGGCATTATCTAAGATCAATAAAATCTTAAAACTTAATCCATTTTCTCTGCTATGATATTCTATTATAGGATAGAATTAGTTGGTGAACCAATCTTCAATAAACCTTTTGCAACCCATATGCTTTCTTTTTTGAATGCCACAACACTGAAAGATTAGATAACTTTTTAAGAACTCTAAGATTTTTCAGCTCAGTAGGCAAATATTGGCTTTATTTAAAAATTCCATTTTGCATTTCCACCTAATAACAGTGTGAAGTGAATGTTATATCTAAAACACAGCTTTTCATCATTTGCTATAAATGTGTGTGATGGCAAAATCATGAACAAATATTCAACATGATGAAACAGATAAACCTGTTTCATCATGTTGAATATTTGTTCATCTTTTTATCCAACTTTTTGTATAATTTTACTAGTTCTTTCAAATATCTTGAAATAGTTCTTTATCTGCCTCGGCAGATTCACCATCAATACAAACACTGTCAATATCAGGTCATTGCTTAAAATGAAAATTCACCCACAGCTTGCTGTAAAATCTTTATTAGTTGCTTTACTTTCATTTTCTGTATTGACATTAGTCTTCAAGTCATTGTAAAGTCGTAATGCTTTAGCTTGAATTTCCATTTGGCTAAGCACAAATGAGGTGGCTGCATGGACGTTTTAAAGGCTTTTCCCATGTATAACATGTACATGAGCCAATTTCTCTTAGAAAGTCCTCCATGAAAGCATTCCTCTTCTTAGGCAGATAGCCCTTGAGGCTTTGCCATAACCACATAAACCAAAAACAAACCAAACCATTTGACTAAGTGCGGACTAATTTTGAAGTCTTCAATTCATATTTATAATAGCATTTACCATGCGGGTGATTCTGGTTTTGGTTGCTATTTATTGGTTTCTTCAACTAAACATATTCATTCTATCACAAAATGAGATGGCTTGCATGAATTGGCAGGCAAGAAGTTTATTTAAAGGCATTAACACTTATTTACAGATATCATATAATTATTTACAATAAAACTTAATTACAAGCTTGCTTCTTTGGGATTTGAACCCAGGTTCATCAGTATAGCTGCCAGCATCACTACCCACTATACTGATCTGAGGAACACACATTGCTATCACTGCGAGTTGCAGTCAAAGTATCATCTTTCACACACTTCATGCTTATGGCATTAACCTCTGACAGTTGTAAGCATTATTGGAAGTCAGTGTCTGAGATAAAAGTCAACATGGAACATGCCTTGTCAATTCTCTTCCTGCCTTCTCCAGCAATATTCTTACTAAGCTCAAAAATAAATGGCCCAAGGATAGGTTTATACATATAAAATGAAGAATCTCTCGAAGTTTAAATATGTATTGTATTAAAGTTTAAAGGTGTATAAAAAAAAGCTGTACAAAAAGAGACTTGACTGTGTAAAGGGCGAAAAAAAATCAGTCATTTATATATTAAAAAATAATTTAATGTGCTAGTTTTTTTAAATTAATTTTTCTTTCTGTTTATATATATTTTTTACGTGAAAACGAGGGAATAAATTGTGTTGACAAAACAGTTATGTGGTAATCCATAACATTACCAAAATGTATTTATGTGGCAACTCTGTTATGTACACAAATGCGGCATGTACATATGTAGGTGTAGGCGTGTACCTACACACACACCTTCCAAATTGAATAGTTATTCTGATTAGTGTTTGTTTTTGGATTGAGTATAATTTTTTTTTAATTTTGTTTTTGTAACAAATCATTACAGGACTGTTGAATTTACCAGCTGATGAAAACGCATTGCATTTATTTCAAAATATGCATTTTGTCTACCAGTAGAGAATGCAAAAATTCATACTCTACAATGTTTTTTTATGCTTATTGCTTCTTTAATTCTATTGATTAATTGCTGTTTTGTGCAATTTTTAGTGTTGCCATTTTGAAAATGGCTGTTTCCTTTTGCATATTAGCTCGATGAAAAATCATCCAGCAGTGAATTAGCAACTTTTTTAGAGGTACAGATAATCAGAGAGTATTTTAATTATTATTTTGTTCAATTAAAATAATTCATGTTGTTATGAAATTTTCAAACTGGACTGTTAAGAATCTGAACTAAAGCTGGACATTTTAATTTGTATATCTGCCCTTTCTATTCAAAAATTTATAATAACTTTTACTGAACTGCATCATTTTAAAATTAATCCATTTTATGCCTTTTTATATAATCCTGAAGTATGGGCAGCTCTTGTCCAATCACAGATAAAAATTTCAACAAAGAATGTCTTCTTTGTATCTCTTGCTGCTTCTGAATGCACACTTACTTTTTGGGCTTTGCCTTC